AAAGACTTCAAGAAATTTTGTGTACTGTTGATCCAATTTGTGCTATTTCAACCTCTATGGAAATGTAATGGAGAGCTCATAAGGATTGACAGGAGTGGTTGCCCTAATCCGTGATGTATCTGAACTCTCCTTAGCAAATGCTTCTGTTGTCTATTCAATCTATTTCACAAGTTCCTCATTTGAAGAAGGTAATGTTTCCTTACTCGCAACTGGCCTCTTTACATGAAATTTCGACAATTACACCCCGCTTCTAGTTGTTATTGCTTTTACATGTTCCTTGGGGTTGATTTCTATATGGCTGGGTAATGGACCCGTTGCTCTGCCAGTCATAGGAAGTGTCATCTGCCCCACTTGAGTCTCTAGGTTTTTAATAGCAGCACTTTGGTCTTGGAGAGTTGTTTCGGTCTTTCTCATGAGTTGATTATTAGCTTCAATGTATTGATTTGTCTTTTCCATAAATTTTTGAACATCTCTTCCAACTAAAATATCATCTTATGCTGCTGAAACTGATCATGCGACATATTCTGATTCTGATTTTGGGTGCTTCCTCCAACCTGGGTTGTAAATATCTGAATGTGGATTATTCTGATGACGTTGTCCCCATTGTGTAAAATCAACTTTTTGCATTCCTTGTGCCAGAATAGGACAATCTGCTATATTATGATCTACTCCACACTCTTCGCAACTTAGCTTCTTGGCTTGTGTTGTATTGGTTGTCTGTGATATGCTTTCCACCTTATGAAATAATGAGTCTATCTTCGTAGATAAAGCTGAGTAAGCATCCACCTTTTATACACTCGGTGCTTTCTTTTAAACCACTCACTCAGAAGCCCACATGGTTGAAGTTGTAGCCACTGTCTCGAATAACTTCAAAGCTTCGTCAATTGTCTTTATAGATAAAGAGCTGCTAGATGAAGAATCCACCATGCTTTTGAATGATGGAAACAATCCTGCCTAAAAATATTAGACTTGGAGTCCTTTGCTAATACTGTGGTTAAGACACTTCCGAAGTATGTTCTTGAACCTAATCCAAGCTTCATCAAAAGATTCTAATTCACTTTGACGGAAGATAGATATGTCATGCTTCAACTTCGCTATCTTGGTCGGTGGGAATAATTTTGTACAAAACTTTTGGGCTAAATCATTCCATGTGCTGAGACTGGCGATGGGTTGAGTATCTAACCATTCAAGTGCTTTATCATGTAAAGTGTATAGAAACAACCCTAGTCTAATAGCATCATCTAAAATACCCTGATATGGAAAATGTTGACATATCTCCAAGAATCGAGAGACGTGTGTATGTTGATTTTCTTGAGCTCTACCATAAAAATGATGCCCATTTCTGGAATAGATGTATAACGTTGGTCTTCAGCTGGAAATTAGGCAGCCCAAATGGAGGGTAGATGATGTTGGATTGACTTTGAATTATCTGGGTGGCATGAAGTCCCCAACAAGCATTTTCTCTCATCAACAGCTTTCTCTTCGTTGACTTGAACTACTTGATTGTTTTGCTCGTTGGCCATTTGTATTAGCTATTTTTTGGTCCTTTTGTTGTGTTGCTCATGCTTTCCATTGTCTATGATGAAATCTGTGTTCGATTTCTGGCTCAGTTGGAATTAATTCACCATCAAGCGATCTTCACATACAAGATCTAAAAGAAAAAACAACAGTAGTACTCAGATAACTAAAATGAAATGAAATAAAAAAATATGTTCGAGTTAGTATCGAAGTAAAAAAAATCAAACTAAACTCAATCCCCGACAGCGGTGCCAAAAACGTGTTCACGAAAATATATCTCGAATTAAAATCACCGCAAATATACACTTCGTTAACAAGTAACAAAGTGGATCTTGAGTTCGAATATCATCCCACAGAGATTGAGTAATTCAATTTTAAATATTCATGACCTTAACCGAAACAAGAATAATATGATGTGTTTATGACTGAATTATATCTAAATTAACCTACTTATGCAATTATGAGTGAATTAACTAAATTAAATACAAATTATGTTGAACGCAAGTTAATGTGTTTTAATGAATGAAAAACATATTAGGATCCTGAATTCCCATGAAATAATAATTTATAACCCTAGTTTTACACGTTGACAACACAATCGAATTTGACGAATCCATATTTCTATTTTATTTAACAATCTTTCTCGGTAATGTTAAACTTTTTTTTTATATATGACCAAACTATATTTCTATGATGGATACAAACGTATAAAAGTGGATGAATTTTTATGAACACTTAAAGATTCACATCGAGTATAGCGGTATATTTCAATCCCATATTAGACCCTATGGCAATTTATATATGTCGAACATATTTTCCTTATTTCGAATACACAATTTATATATGTCAAAATTTAAAATTAATAATTGAAATTTTAGTATCCAAACTTTTTATTCTTTTACAAATTGTACCTAATTTTTTTATGTACCACCTACAATCCCAAACCTTTAAAACTTTATTTTCCGCCCTACTCTACTTCATATTTTTTCCCAAAATTAATTTATCTAATTATAAATATATGTCAAAAGTACAACCAATTGTAACCTAAGCCAAAAGTTGCAGTTGCATCCAATCTACTCCGTTGGCTCACCATCGGTCTAAAGTCAATCAGCCACCACCCTCACCAGCAGCAAACATTTGAGAATGGTGCCATGTATTAATATTATTAATTAAGTAATTGAGCCCCATTAATCTCCATTAATCCTTTTCTAATTCCCAATTCTCTCTTATATACATATGTGTTCAGCTTGTATTATACCAACCTGCCTAAAAACAATGCCCTAGTGATCAGATGGTTCTTTAACTTCAACAATGCGAGTTGTAGGCCCCGTCGATTTTGTCATCTCTTTCGCTTTCTCATCTTTTTTTCTTCTTCTTTGATTCGCTACCGTCACTTGCATTGGACACTTTAATCGCATACATTCGATCAATTTGGGAATCCTGGCCCTTCATCTTAATCTTCATCGTCCATTGTAACTCTTCTCTAAACCCTTCTTGTGATCCTTGGAATCCTTGATCTCCGCCGTCCATTTATACTTCCTATCAAGCCATTCTTTCTCTGGACTCTTAATCTCTACAGTCCATGTGTACTTTCTCTCCACAATCTTCTTCTTCTTCTCCTCCTCCTTTACCAACCGGTCAAAACCCTGCTCCAAAGCTGAAACCCGATCATAGAGAGATTGCAAGTACAAATCCGAGGCAAGCCTAACTCTGCGTTTGACTTGGTGAGTAACGGTGTAGAACATGGTCCTTGACTAAGCATTGAGGGAAAAAAAGTGTTTTAAGAGGTATGCGGTTGAGGGAGATCCTAGCTTGGATTTGCCGATGAGTTTGCATGTTGTCGCGACGATTGACTGCAAATTGGGGAGGTTTGAAGAGGTTGTGCCTGTTTTGGAGCGGGTAATTAAAGTGCCGGAGATGTCGAGGGGTGGAAAATAAAATTTTAAAGGTTTGGGATTGTGGGTGGTATATAAAAAAAATTGGGTATAATTTGTAAAAGAATAAAAAATTTTGATACTAAAATTGCAATTATTACTTTTGAATTTTGACATTTTTACTGTTTTTAACAGACTGACGGTATGGGATTTTCACAAAATGTTTCAAATAGGGGATTTTCTACGATTTTCAATAGGTATGAGACATTGCAAATGGAAACATTTCTAGGGGTTTTCTGCTATATATTAATCCGTGCAAATTGAGTGTCCATAAAATCTTGTGTCGAGGTCCGTTCAAGGTACTGCCAAACAAGTTAATTAAAGTAAATTAAGTGAAATTTATTAACATTGTCTAATTCTAGGATAATAACTATTCCTAAGTAAGTATACACAATTTTACCTGTTTCAAACAATAGGATGGCCTATTCCTTTATGCACTGTCTATTTGCTCTATGGGTAACATTTTTTTTATGAATGGATATGCTAAGTTATTCTTTGACTTAACATAATAAAAATCGATATGTTTTACTTGAGAGAAACTATCGAACAATATTTTATTTACTATGTATATCTCTAACCATTATATATAAAATTTTCCGCTTTAGCTATTGTTGCTTGATTATCGCAATGTAGTTGGTATTGACTTTGGCCACATAGGAAAGTCTTAACCATTATGATTTGTCTAAAGAAATAAACTCTAATTCCAAATTGGAACGTGCTATATATGTTTGCTTAGAATATTGCAAGACTTACCACTAATATGCTTCGGCTCATTTGTATATGATATCTAATTAGCATGATTTCATTTTAGGGAAAATTGCACCAGCGTTCTCTAACCTTTTCAATTTTTACAAATTTTGCCCAAACCTTCAATATGTGCTAGTGGAGGTCCCAAACCTTTCATAAATACACACCTAGAGTTCATCTAGATGGAAACCGTCCATGAAACCGTCAATTGACCGAGAAAAATGGTTTTCGGCCAATTTTGACCAAATTGTGGTGGTAAAATGGTAACTTTTTATATTTATATATATTAAAAATTAAAATAATAAAACTGAAAAAGATCTCAGCACAATCACCACCTTGCAGAAGGAATACACTGCCCAGGCAGCTTCACCTAGCCGCTCCTTGAGGCTCCAAGCCTCTCTGGCGAACAACTGGGTAGTTATTTAGTAATTGCAATTTGGATTGGGATTTTCAGTTTCCTTGTGGATTTTTTTAACTGTTTCTTCAAGTTTTGAAGCACGTGAGTTTTTCCCTTGTTGGGGATTGTGTTCTTCTAAGTTGGAATGTTATTTCATTGTTGCTTTACATTGTATTTGCACTTAATAAGATATATATATATATATATATAGATAATAAACCACCAAGAAATTTTAGAATTAAAGCAAAATTAAAAAAGTACTTTATTTCAGTTTTGACAACATTTCTTACTGTATTTTAACGTTCTACTTGAACGTTTGTGATAATGTTTAAATATTGACCACTAGTGTCATAAAAGAGTACATTATTTTTCAACAATTGAAGAAAAAAATTCTTTAAATATACTTATTTTGCTATTTCCAATAAATATTGGCAAAGGGTGCTCGGCTTTGAAATCATTGCCATGTGGTCAGCGTCTTCTATCTCTTTCTGTATTGCCACAGGATTATTTTCAATTTCCCAGCGCTGGAAATCTGGTGGTATGGCTTTATCTTTGCCGGTTATGATGAAAGCACGTTTTACTGATCCAAACTTTTCATTGGAAAATGGACTCCTATTTGACAAATCTTCCAAAAAAATAGAGGTTGGCCTCACTAATGAGTTTGCTAATGCAACATCCTACCATAATGAATTAAAAACACTTGTTAGTCAATTTATAGCAGTGTTTCATTTCGACCACTCAGCTTTTCCTTCGCTCTAATTAAGTTATTAAAATTTTATTGCTAATTTAATGGGAATTTTAACCTGAAAAATCTGGTAGAGCACTGTTATTATCATCACGTTGGATAAAAACTAATCTTTTGAAAATCGGAAAAGACCAGTTAATTCAACTAGGATCTAGTCTGGGTATAATATAAAAATAGGAAAAATGGTAATCGTTTGAAAAATAAAGAATGTTCCATTCTATATATTTTTACCTCAGGTGGGGAGAGTTGATATAGTCTGGATGATATGAACTGTGGACCAAAGAGTATTGATTGGAGATGATCTTCGGGTCTACCAAATGGCGCGAATTGAGTGTCCAAAGAATCTTCCATCGGGACCTGTGCAAAGTATACCAAACAAGATAATTAAAGTAAATTAAGAGTGAAATTTATTAAAATTGTCTAATTCAAGGGTAATAAGCTATTCCTAAGTGTATACACAATTTTACCTGTTCCGGAACATAGGATGGCCTATGTACAGTGTCAGGCATTATAGCCGCAAGAAAAACAGCCATGTAAATCTTTTCAGGGTATTTCTCCATTGCAAAAGCCAAGTTCATGCCACCAAGACTATGTCCAACTAGAACTACCTTTTCGTCTGGTGGAATCGACTCCATTACCTTAAACAATGGCAGTGTATAGTCTGGAAATGTGCGAAGCTCATCTAGGCTTTTCGGGTTGATGCCGGAGGCTGAGAGATCAATTGCCGTGACGCGGTGACCAGCCGCCTCTAGCAGCGGTTGTAGCTTGTACCAGCTCCAAGCTCCAAGGCATGCACCATGTACGAGAACAAAATGCTTTTGTTGATTTTCTTCCATTTGTTTTGCTTCAAGGATGCTGTGTGTACATAAGACACACATGCAGAGCAACAGAAAACGCACACAGGTGGGGCTCATTTTTTTTTTTTTTTGCAAAATTTTACTACACAGGTGTGTATAAAATTTGGTTTTGCTTAGTTAGTATATATCATATCCAGAACATCTGTATATATAGAGGAATGTGTGGGAGTCAGAGAAAGGAGGATTGATAAAACGGGACGTGTACAAAATGTAAATGAGAGTAGGGTCCATGAATCATCATGTTCATGCAATGTCAACTTTTTGTGAATCACATGGAATATCTAATCAAACTCCACGTATCTTATAAAACTCCACTTCTTTCTAAAAAACAAATAATTAATTTATTTAAGATATGTTCTTTCTTTTAGGAAATTGATTAGTACAATAAATAGAAGAAAACGAAGAATTAGATGGAAATTTTATTTGTTGTATACGGTTTCAATTTTTCTTAAAGCATATTTCCCCCAAAATATAACCCTTCTTTCAAGACTGGCCACAATAATAACCTTGGTGCGGAAACTACAATTTTATAGTACACTTCTTGATTGGAATATCAAAGAACTTTAAAGCCGGAAGATTTGAATTTATGACAAACTTGAAAATGTGAAATGTGATGGGTTTCCACAAATCCTAACTACTTATTAATAGGTGTTTAATTGGACTGAACCCACCTATTACACACAAGTCATATTTAATTAATATAATTAATTAAACTTGGCCTGCTAATTAATTGACTTAAACTAGTGGAAATTACACCCACCCTATCATTCAAAATCCAACTTCAAAAATCAGATGCAAGGTCTGTTTATTAAAAATTCAGATTATAATTAAAAAATTTAATATTAATAATAAAATTATAAAATTAATTTAATTTGCATACCCACCCCCACTCAACCATCATCCACCCAAACCCTAATTTTATTTTTTTCTCTCCTCCTTCTCTCTACAACTCTCCCTCTCTCTCTCTTCTCCCTCCTTGACGTCGCCGGCAACCCCTAATTAACTCTCACCCTTCTCTCTCTCTCTCTCTGAATCTCCATTCTCCGGTCTGAGTGGTCTCTCACCGTCTCTCTAAACCCTCATTGGTTGTAGATCCGACGATGAGCACCGATCTTTGTTTTCCTGTGCCACTCTCTCGTCTCTCTCTTCGCCACACTTCACGCCGTCATCATTCTCCCCCTGCCAATCGCAGAAGAAGTAACACCATTGCGCAATTCAGACCGTCGCTCTGCTAAGCCAATGTTTTGACTATTTTATGAAGTAACACCATTATGAGAAAGACAACGGTGTTGACAGCGCCACTTGCTGAGCCAATGTTTTGGCTTCTATTTCTATTTCAGATTGTGTGGTGGTGGCGGCAATGAGGTGGTGCAGACTTTTTGGTTTTTGTTTCTGTTGGTGAGGTTGTGTTGGTGGCGATGAGGTGGTGTCGACTTTTTGGTTTCTGTTTCTTTTGAGTTTTCGGATTGTGATGCGGTGTTGGTGGTGGCGGTGCTAGCTTTTTGGGTTTTTTTTTGTTTATGTTTGTGAGTTTTAGATTGGAGACGGTGTTGGTGGTGTGGCGGTAAGGTGGCGGTTGGGTGCTGGTGGTTGTGAAGTTAGCTGCGGTGGGGGGGGNAGCGGCAAGGTGATGGTGTTGTTGGTTCTGGCGACAACGATGGTGATGTTGGTGTTGGATGCAGTGATGGCTGTAGGTTTGGTGGTTGTGGTGACGTTGATGGTTGTTGGTGGCGGTTGAGGTGATTGGTGGTGGCGGTGTGGGTGGTGGCGTCGTCGGCCATCGTGTGAGGGTGGTCGTAAGTGGCGGTGGAGACATTGGAGGTAGTGGTGGTATGTAACTCAGTAGTTGACCTGTGACCAACTGTTTGGTCACTTATGACCGATTAGTTAACTGTGACCCTTAAAATTCGATAATTTTTACCTTAAAAGTCGAATGGTGACTCACAAGTAATTAAGTTGTGACCGAAAAATTAATCTGTGACCTATAAAATTTGGAAAACACTACTTGTACATAATTTAGGTTACTTAAGGGTGTCCACCCTCTCACATGGGGTGGACCCTACATGAATAAAAAAAATTTTATTCATGTGGGGTCCACCACATGTGAGAGGGTGGACATCCTTAGGTAATTCAAATTATGTACATGTAGCATATCTCATAAAAGTTTTGATTTGTGACTTCGAATAAATTTGTGACCTACCTCGAAATAATTTGTGACCTGCAAGATTTTTGATCTGTGATCGATAAATAAATTGTGACCTTTAAAATTCTTGAGCTATGACCGTAAAATAATTTGTAACTTAACAAATTATAATTTGTGACCGAAAAATAATATGTGATTGAATAAATTGTAGAGTCACAGATCACTGGTCACGGGTTTGACTTCACAAGTCACAGTTATTTCTTATAGGTCACAAATCAATATAAACGAGTCACAAATCAATATTAACAAGTTACATGTTGTTTTGTAGAGTCACGGTTCAATTTTACGAGTCACATTTTATGTTACTAGTGACAGGTAATAATCAAAAGGTTAAAAATCATGTCAACTGTACAAAAAAAGTATGGTGTGGTTGTTGCCGGAGTCGGAACAATTGTCAGGATTGGAGTAGTTGCCGGAATAAAGCGGCGGTGGCAAAACGGTCGTCGGAACCGGAGCAGTAGCCGGACGGTCGCGCGGAGCATTCGTCGGAATGGTCGCTAGAGTAGTATTCGGAATAGTCTCCGGAGCGGTAGGGGTGGTGGAGGTGGGGTGAGTTAATTATATTATATTATAATTAAATATTTAATAATAAATTAATTTAATAATTTATTATTTCATAAATAAAAATTTAAAAAAATTTTAAAAAAATCTGATTTTGATAACTTTAAACTTGTATTCTTATT